ACGTGTCCCCGCGATGATCGTCATGGCGATGTACCTTTGCGTATTCCTGCTCAATTCGTTCTTCGGCGGAGCAAAAATGCGGCTGACCCACTTGAAGCCATTCTGGGCAAATAATTACCGCATGTAGAGACTCACGTGCGTCCGGGGGAAAACAACACGGGACGTCTTAGTCCCAGATCTCTCGCTAATACGGAGAATTTCGATTTCGGAAGCCCCAATGGAAAGGAAATACCCCTGCACGTATATTTATTGCCATCTCTGTGAGTGATTAACCCGCGAGGAGACCGCTCCCTCCACGGAAGAATGACAGAAAGATCGTTCCCCCATTCCGGCAGCGATTCGAAAGCTGAAGGTTTCGATTTCTCTCGGCTCGGATCAGGTGGGATTGCGTTCGTTTTTTTCTTTGTTCGATCGTTTCTTTCTCCTGTTCTGTTTGCTTGTAGGTCGATAGAACACCGAGTGTGCTTGCGGTTCTCGCTTGTTCGAAGCGCATCCGCGAGAGCCACTTTGACTCGCCGTCTTCGTACCTCCTACGTATCCTTCCCACTTCTATTTGTTGCTGGTTCGGAACGAAATTGGCCGACGATACTCCTCCCGTTCCCTTGTCCCGCAGTCCGAGCTTCCGTAAGTACGTCCATTTGTGGAACGAGCAGTCAGGCCAGATGAGCAAACACAAGGAGAAAGAAACGAGACCGCCGACCCATCGAGATAAGCCTTCGGAAGGATGCGTCTATTTCTTCCGCAAGGTTTCGCAACAGCACAAATCCACGCGGAGATCGACGCGTGTGCAATCCCTCAAGAAGTCGTGGAGAGCGGAGAGAGCCCCAGTGGCCTATGCGGCCATCGTCTCTCCTGCCTGAATGTTTGCTCCGACTCAAAAGTCGAACTCCAGCGCAATTGTTCCCTTGGTACTTCACTCCTACTTACTCGCAGCTCGCGAGGTCTTGACGACCTTCCTCGAAGGCCGCCACGACCACCACCGAGTGAACTTTCTGTCTGCGACTCCGCGCGTCCGTATATCCGCACAATGGCTCCGTACATACGTATGTATGGGCGTACGTACGTATGTGCATAGAGCGGCTCCCTCGTCTGGCGGCGCCTTCCACCTTGGATGGTCCGAGGCTAACTTTGTAACATCAGACCCGGGCGGAATGGCGCCATTCTCCTTCCTTGGCATTGTGCCCTTTCTCCTCTTCGTTGCTGTGCGACTTCAATTTTGTCGAGGTGAACCGAGGCTCGGCAACAACACCGCGCGGGCTGAGCTCACGGTGACTCGCTTTCTTTTTCTCGCTGTTTCTCTCGTTAGTCTCCTCTATAAATTACAACAACCATTCGCAAACTCGCACGTAGAGGGAGGGAGAAGATGCGCTCTACTGGACGTGTTGAATATCCGCGAATGCGCCCACAACGGGGCCGTCGGACTCCCCGAACAGAAGGCCGTGTTGGATATGATTGCTGCTCACGTATTTTAAACTGGTCTGGCAGTACAACGAGTCGGCTCGTCCGTTTGTTTGTTCGTTCGCCCGGACGACAGTCTTCCACCAGGTCCCCCGTCGCGGAATTCGATCGGAAGCCAGCGGAACCGCGAGCCCTAAGCTTCTCCGCGTCTGGCAAAGCGGGAGGGGAAAATAACCGAATCATGAGGTGTCCCGTAGCTTTGTGGGCTGTTGCGCAAGTATTTTGCGTACGTGTCCACAGCGGCGTTTCGAGGATCTCTCTTTCCGTAAAATCATTCTTTACGTCTCTTTCCCGCTTCCTATCCCGGCGCTCCTCTTCGGGCCTCCACCTCCCGGGATCGTCTACTCTAGCCATGAATATCTTCCATGAATTTTCAATCGAATCGCTCTGGAAAGCGTGTTGGTGCGTGAAGTTGGAGGATTCCGTTGCGCCCGCACTCCCAACTGCGAACGTTGCCGCATCAGCTGGCGCTTCTGCAACCGCCGTCGCAACAGCAATTATTCCTGCGGCTCGCCTTGCGCTCAGATCCTGTGTATTTTGTGTGTTCGGTTGTGTGCGGTAGTTTTTCATGATCCGACCGCTACACACCGTTGGAAAATAACAAACAAAACGGACGTGGCTCTCATACCCCAAGCGGGATTAAGACTCTTTCGGCGCGTGGGGCTCCTTCCGCGCCACTAAGTGGTTCTCTGGTTTTTCCTTCTTTTTTTCTGTTTTCGTTTCGAGCTCGAGATCCGCGCAAATACGCTAGTCTGGAATCTGATCTAAAAGCATCTCGCAATAACAAAAATCTCTCAGGGTAGGAGAGCTCACTGACGCAAGCCTTGGATTCTGAGTTTCTCGTTTCCTTCATGTCGCTCAGGATTCTCCCCGTTGGTATCTGTTGCCGTGCTTATTGTCAGCAGACGGTCGCTCGCTCGGTCGGTCGTCGCATTAGCAGCGACCCGTAATCCCGGGAACACGGAGAAGCGCGTGTTTGAAGCTACTCCGAGGGATTACGTTTCCTCAAGTTTTTCCCTCCTCTGCTCGTCTGTCGTTTCCCCGCTCCGAAACGATCGCAGTGAGGTTTGCACTCTTCCGCATAATACCTACGCTTCAAATTGGCTTTCCCTTCCGCAAAATCTATTTGTCAGAGGAAGTCGTAGCACGATTCCCCACTACCGCAAAACGGAACGGATGGATACATGGAAGCGGACAGGATGGGGTTGAAGGGCTACATCTACCGCTGCAATGTAAATGATGGAACAGTCGCTGCCGAGAGAACACGCGAAATGTCAGAGACATCTTCGCGTACGCCATAAGCCACTTGACGGCCGGATGCAGAGACGGGAGGTGAGCCTAGGAGGCATATCCGTTCTGTGAACTTCCTGGGTTCATGATGCTTTTCACCCCGGAATGCTCTCCCCCTACCGCTACTAACCCTTTCCCACCCGAATCCTGAGCCTACGTTGCGCTGCCTTGGATGAAAAGAAAGAACTAGAGAAGAATTACGCACGAGAGGTTGAATCCAGGGATCGATGGAAAGTCTACAGCCGAGACTACCCGGATCTGGCGATTTCTCGTATTCCTCTCGTGTTCGATTTGGAAACAACTGGGGAATATCGTGCTCCCGAGGCATGCGAAGACACATTCATGTAGAGAGGCGACATAAGTAGAAATGAGCGCTAGAAAATTCAGCTTGAAAACGTTTTTCAGTTTTATTATTTTGGCACTTCCTGTACATTAACGCTCAAAGTTCCGTTTCTTATATCATCAGAGCCATACTTTGTAGGAAATCAGTTTCCCTTTAAATTACTATCGATTGCTCGAGGTTCCGCTTATGCCCAACGAACGCAAGCGCTATCGTTCTCATCTGTCTCGCTTGTATCCTCCTTTCTGGTCGTTTCCATCTTGACCGGTTTGAATTGATCAGAATGTTTGCTGCTTCCACACAACTGGAATCTGCTATATTACATTACGATGTTGCCGGCGTGCACCTCCGGCAGCGTTCAGAAAGGCACGCCACAACGACTCAATCTCCACACGGACAGACCCTTCTGCGAAATTCCAGCATACAAGATTTCCGAGACGTCAATCGCTGTGTTCAATAATTATCAATGGATTCGGGCTCCAATAAAAACCGCTTACGGATAAAATTCTGAGATGGTGTATAAGCAATGAAGAGTAGAGAAGTCGGAATCCGCAGGAGGATCTGAAGTGGCGAATTCATCTTTCTGTACAGTTTTGTTTTCTCACAAGGACTTCATTTCACGTAATAATTAAATAACTTCGGCTCGATTCCACCAATGTTGTGTGTCGACGTTACGGTCCGCATCGACCCCGGGCGACAATTGAATAATTCTACTTCATTTGCACAGAATGGTTTCTCCGCATTGTGAATGTCCCTCACGTGTTGTGAACTCCTATGTACAAGTACAACAGGTCACGGTCGACGTGCCTCTGATCTGGCATATCGACTGCACAATCTTAAATTCTCTCGGAACGACCTCATGAATTTCATAGATCCTCAATTACTTGTCGAATCAGACGGCGATACCATGGTCGCGTGGATTCCCCCTCTCCGCCTGATTTACGCTTCACGCGCTAGTCGATGAAAAATAGAGACCAGATTTTATATACAGCCGTCATAAAACCGCATGAACGGCCTCGAGGCCGCTCCTCGTTCAGAAGATTCATCCGACTTCGGAGAGTCGTCAGAACTCCGGCGGCAGTGAATACGTCTTCTATTTACAACGGTATCCACACATACACAAACAGACAGACAGATACATGAAGATGAAAAAAGAGGGCTCCTCCTTGCAGACGAACGGAAAAAGGGAATTGGAAAATGTTGTCGACTAGAAAAGTTTCCTACGAACAAGCTTGGAGTAGATCTTTTCCAAATTCACCTGCGCGTTCAATTTGACGCGTGTCTCCGCCAGAAGTATCGGCAACTGATGTGGCTGACTCCGTGCGCGATATTCTGGTCAGATCTCCATTCACCTCAATCGGCAGCAAATCTTTTTACACGAAGGCTGGCGCTCCTCTTCAATAATCATGAAGAAGAATGCCACCTCTCCGCAATCAGAACGGCAGGTGTTGATTGAGTCTCGATTCCTTTCCAATTGAACACTTACTGACAGTCTGTGCTGACCACCAACATCGAGAAGACTCTCCTTCGAGTTTTCCGAGTAGTAGTAAGTCGCGATTCTCATTCTTTTTACTAACGAAGGGCTCGAGAGTTCGGGCTCCCGGATTTTCGACTCCTCGATCGACGGCCCTCCCTGTCCAGCTCATCCGTTCTCTCGGAGCACGGCGATGGCATATTGAGCAGTGTACATTTGTATTTACAGACTCACGGTTCCAGTCTCTGTCCGAGTGGGAAAATGTAAAATTTGAGCCCGCTCTTGGGCCAAGCTCTCCGGGAACTGGTGGAGACCGAGGGTCGCGACTCAGTTCAGCCGCGACTCGTTCCGTCTCACTCACATTTGGAACCTACTAGTTTCCTCCTAGATGCTCCGCGACGAGAGCCATCTGGACGGATATTTATGTACAACAAACTATTAACAGTATGTACTAAGATTGTATCTGGGAGGCTGCTGACAGCTTTGGGCACTGCTGGGGCTTCCTTCAGACGTGGCCGACGAGTTCGACGAGTTTGTCGGTGAATCCAACGGGTTTATGCGAGTGACGACCTTTTCACCGTCGAGTACCGCAATCACCTGATTGTCCTGATGTCTGTCCTGCTCTTCTATTTTGGCAGACACCTGCAGAGCCTGTGTCAGAGCTACTTCGTAAAGCTGTTGCGGTGTAAAAAGTTGCCCATTCACTTGCACGACGGGAGTCGAGGCGGCGATTTGCTTCGCTCTACGTGCCGTAGCTGCTCGTTCGGCGGGGGACATCCGCGACAGAGTCGCGTCCAGCTGATTGCTCATCGTGCTGTATTTGTTGATCAGAGGTCTCTGCTCGTAGCATCCGGTGGCGTCTTGAAGGATCTCGGCGGTGTTGCCGTAGAGGATGTTGGGCGTCGAGTCGGCGGGCGCGGGCGGCGGAACCATCGAGCCGACGTCGATCGATTCGTAGATGTGGTCCGCAAAGGCCGAGTAGACGCTCGACGCCTCCGAATAGGGCCCGCCCGGTGACGGTCGGGCACCTCTCCACTGAACCCACTGTCCTTGGGGCTGGCCCAGTTTCCCGCTTCCCTGTACGAGGTTGTGCTGCGACTTGCTAAGAGAATTGGCCATTGCCATAGAACGTGCGCGGTCGCCCAACGTGGCTCCGTTGACTGTTCCGCTGATATTGATGGTCTGCGGAGTGAGGGCAAGAATCCCCCCCGAGTCCGGCCCCGCTCCCCCCATAGATGGGCGAACAGGTATGGTAAACTTGCCCTGAGTTACCAACGTGTGTTGTTGCTGAGACTGGAACGGGCCGAGACATTGAGCGGTAAGCCCTGAGACTGCCTTGTGATCCGTATTCCATGAAGGATGGGGCTGAAATTTCAAGTTCGCGGTCGTCAGTTCGATGACTCTGATAGATTCGGCTCGATATTGGAAAGTATTCCCAGACGAGATGGAGCGAGTTCACGGAAAGAGGGAGGGGGGAAGGAAAAAAACGAAGAGTTCCTTGCGCCATCCGAGCTTCCTCGGCACTAAAGATAATTGGATCGAGAGGATGGGAGAAAGGATGATGATTTAAACGAATCAACAGAAGCCAAGAAGCAGAGCTCATATTCGGAGAACTCGAGCCGGGACGATAGCTAAACAAGTCATCATCTCGTTGTCTGAATGCATAACTGGGAAACTCGATTAGCTCACTACTCTAAACTAGCGTAGGGCCCTCCACCGAACCGACACCCAAACAAAACGGATGCAAAGATTTCTAGGCGTTGCTCAATGTGCTCCCGGGTCGGTCGCTCATGAATTCTACAAATAGGGTTAGCCGCGCTCACAATTGACAATGACTCCAGAGGCAAGGCCTCCTAGGCGTCATAATCAGATCCGCGCCGCAGTCCGAACTCCCAGTCTCATTACTGTCAGCCGCCTTCTCTTTCGCTATAGCCGCCGCCTTCGCCGTCGTTTTCGTCGTCGTCATAATCATCATTCTACTCCCTGTCTCTCGACAGCTCATCTCGATCATGGATGACCGTTGTTGTCATTGTCGGTACATTTTGATTAATGCTCGTGTTATAGTTAATACTGGTCTGCTGGGATTATTCGGTGGCCGGAGCAACGGCTGAGGCAAATGCCGTAATGACTCTAATGTGATCATGGGCCCTTCTCGAGAGCGGACATCTGAGCTGCCCTAGGGCCAACGATGACTCATTTTGTTTGCATATGAGCATCGAGGTGACGAACTTGAAGAGCAGGCTTCAAGAGGCTGTGTGAGAGGGCACACATCTCCACTCCTTGTCGCTATTCTCCCCGTCGGTCGCCTTACAGACCCTCATCTCGCTTCTCTTTGCCTTATTCCTTCACCTTGGTCTTTAGACAACAGCAACAACAATACCGACGACGGCGACGACAACGACAACGTGGGCGAAGCCCGACAAGAAGAAAAACAGCGGGGTCGAGAGCATATGTGGGATCGGAAGCAGACACGCGGGGTCGGATTTGAATTTCAAATTCATCAATTCAGACGTCTGACCCTAAGAGAGGATTGATCCCCTCATCAAGTTATCATCAAAAGTCCCGTTCGTGATAGGGACGACCTCTGCGAGATAGCGGCTCGGGGTCAAGCATGTTGAGCATATGGATTCGAATCGCTGGCGATAAGAATCGAGTACCAGATGATGTCGATTATTGCGAGATTGAACGATTCCGCGCGGCAGACGGAACGAAGAGCTCCCTCGATAGAGCCGCAAACCGCGGTCAGACGTCTGCTGTATTATTAGGCGTTAGAAACGTTCGCTCGCTCGCCCGCCCGCCGAGATATCGAGCTCTCCAACCCAAAATATTAGTCCGACGTCCGACACCCTTGTTTAGTTTCTGTCCGCAACAGCTCCCGTTGTTAGTTTGTGATTTTTTTTTTGCATCCAAAAGTGTTTGGGTATTTCGGCTGGTACCTGACGCTTGCTGATTCTGCAACACGACATTTCTGCCCGTTGTCGATGATGAGCCAAGCTGTGCAGCTTGGCCCACCTGTACGGGCTGCAAGGGATGGTGGTGCATCGACATGGGCTGCAGGGGTGTCTGCGCATAGTGGGACTGGGGAATGGGTAGGGTCGGAATACGCACATGAAGAGGGGCGCCGTTGACATTGTTTACGCTGACATCGATAGCGAGTTGGTTTCTTCCTCCGAAGAGGCACCTCTTCATGCAGGCGGGGATCCACCGCGAGTTCTGCAGCGAGTGCCCGTAGCGGTCCTGGAACTGAAAGAGAACGAGAACGATGAGCATTTTTCGCGATCACCTCGCTTGCCGTCTCCAGCGCCCGAGCCGCGAGGTAAGATGGCTCGACCAGCGTCGCGGGACCCTCCTATCGGTTAGAGGAAGTTTTTAGACGGTCTATTAGGACTTTGCCGATGAATAATTTTGAAAACTCGTCCAGTCGGTCCGTGGAAGAATAATTCCTGATGCATGTCTGAATCCTTGATTGCGGGTGGTTCGCTCGAGCGCTGTCTGGCTGGTCGGACGGTCGGTCGGCCGGCGGGTTTAACGGACGTTTGCCTGCTCGCTCGGTTGGCTGGTTCACTCACTTATCAAACGCCTAATGGGGCTTAAAGCGTGCCAGCCAAAATCGATTTTCTATTAAGAAAACGTCGCTGTCGTTAGCACGATGCCGTCGACATAACCGCTGCCGCCACAACAACGCGACGCCATCCCAGCCAAGAAAGCATCTCCATCGCCCTGGGCTCTTCCGCAGAATTTTTCGATGATTCCGCTTCGTGACTTGAGTATCATTTCTCGTTGAATCTCTCTCGTTAAAGAAGCCCGCCGTGTGAGCGGGCGGCAAGCGAGCGAGACAGCAGAGTTTCGCGTCGAGCTACATACTCTGGTGAACAATGCAGAGCCCGGGGATTTCCCGACTCGACCAGATAATCATCATAATGATAACCATCGTCCACCAACAGGGAAGGAACAACGATAGTGGCGCATTGATCGAACTTACCGCTTCGTTCTTCCAACAGGTGAAAATGAGTAGGAACACGCCAAGGACCGAGTTGAATGTAGCGAAAATGACCGCCCACGCCAAGTTGAACTTGGCCACGTAGACGACGGCAGAAGCCCAGGTGAACGTCATGAAGACGAGCAGGAAGGTCACCCAGTACATATAGGTTTTGACCGTGTTCACCTTGTCCTCCTCTTTACCCTTGACAGTGGTCGCCAAACCCCCCTGGTTACAGATGATACAAACACCGATGCACACAAATACGACACATCCCTGAAATTCAATAAATTCCGTCAGTGAGAAGGGACGTTCTCCGTGCCTGGCACGGTGTGCCTCGCTGGCGAGGACTAGCGGAGTTTTCCAAGCAGAAAATCTTCTCGGAGTTCGATTCGAGAGCTCTCTTTTATCTCGCGGGGATACTCACAAAAATAATTCCAACCATCGGAGCAATAAAGCTGAAGATGAAAAAGTTGTCGGAGCGCAGCCAACAGTACTTTGGTGTGCCGAAACTCGACGGATCGATGAGAAGCGACACTCCGGTGACGATTGCGGGTGCGATGTACGAAAGAGACGCGTAACATCTTAGTTTTGATTTATGAATTTCCATCGGTTCCACGAGGCTGCTGTAGAGGTGGAAGCCTTCGAAGAAGGTCCAACCCAATGCGACGAGAAGGAAATACTGGAGGAGCGCCGCCACGGCGCTGCACGTGACGCCGAGATGCGTCTGATTGATTCCGACGACGAACACGAACTCGGCAATCATCAGATTCACCGCCAAGTTCCGATGAATCCACAGCTGATCGTTCTTGTGCAACTTCAAGAGGAACAGGAGCAGCGCGGCGATGCAGCAGAATCCCAAAGCCACGCAGCAGCCGACTGTGACCACGAGACGCTGATCGAAGGGTTTTCGACGATCGACTTGCGATGGATTTTCCATCATAATCGCGAAGCTCCCGAGATGATCACAGGCGCACACGGTGCTCGAACGGTTCGATGCTGAGACCCAGCAGCCTTCAGGGGACCAGGCACTGGAGGCCATGAAAAGAAGAACAACTTATATGAGACCTCGCGGCTTTTTCGCTGATTGGCTCGCAGAAAATCGGCTCCGAGAGAGGGGTGTTGCGTAAGTGTCTTCGCGACTCGAAAATCCCTGAAACCCGAGAACTAAACGGCACCCCGCGTTCCTTGTTTATCTGTTCAACGAATGGCCGGCTTAAGCAGCCGTTGGGGAAGACTGACTGAGCAAGCAATTAGACTGGGTAAACATCCTGAATTTAGAAGCATCCAGTGAGTCATGACGACATCTGACGACGAGACTCGGGCTGAGATCACGACGGAAGAGAGGGGCCACCGCAGGCCACGGGGCATTGGTGTGAAGCTTCGTGCGAACGGGAACGTCGACTGATTTGAGACTCGACACCGACCAGTTTCGAGAGGGTTAATGAGATCTAATCTGGGCTGGCTGGTTGGTTTTTCTCTCGCTTTCAGAGACGTTTTTAGTCCGTGTGGGATGACGTCCTCTTTTGAGAAGCTCATAATTAGCTCCCGGAGCCATGCTCGATATCGTCGGCAAACTTCCGGAAGATCGTCTGACCGAACATCGAATGGATCACGACAACGACCCCATAATTATCCTTCTCCTCTTGCCCTGCCTCCCCCCTCTGCCCCAATTATTATTTCCCTCTCCTTTATTGTTCGATTCTCTTGAATTCTGTGCAGCGTTCCTCACCTTGACTCGATATTCCAGTAGACGCACTGGGGCTCCGAGACGATTTCCTCCTGAAGATGCTTCAGCGTGACCTGGATGGGCTGAGCCAGACGTTCCGAGCTCTCCTTCCCCACGCTGACGGAAACGACTCTGGAGTTGATGAATCCGGACGCCAACCGCTCGTCGAACGCCGACCGCGGGAAGTGGTTCTCGGGTTCGGGGACCAAGTAGATGTCCAGATTGTTGTAAACGATGAATATCAGTTTTCGGAACGTTCCTTGTTTGAAGAACTGCTGAATGGCCTCGACGGGAACGTTAACCGAATCCTGCATCGACGACCAGTTCTGGTCCTGCTCCCGCTCGTTAATCGACGGGAAATGTATGACCATACTGCGCCAGGAATCGACACCTCGTACCGACATCACTGCAAAGACATCGGGGGAAAATGTTAGACGTGGTCCTCCGACTCGTAGAGAGCGCTTGCCATCAGTTGTGGTTGTACGCCTCTCTCAATCTAATTGGTACTTCAGTCGATGCGCTCGTGTTCCTCGTTTCCGATTCCCCTGATAATGATGAAGCCGCCCCCCACCCTCTTCTGCCCGTTTTCCCCGTCGGCGGAGACGTCACGATGCGCACGACGCGATCGAGTGCGGATCGAGCCAGTTCTGCTTGAACTCGAAAGATCCACCGAGCTCTTCTCCAACTTGTCGTTGCGAGCTAGTCAATTGCCATTCATCTATGCAGCGTCCAAAGTGGCCCAATTACGGACCGCGTGCGTGACAAGCACGCATCTTCGAAGCGGGCACGCTGACCGACTGGCGGACAAGAAGGCTGTAGTTGCGGGCTTGCCGCTGCGGGTGGGTAGTTTCGGAAAAGGAATGCCCGAGGAATGAGAGCTCCTCCTCTAGTTGGCTATGCAGGACGACAACCTGATAGTGGTGCACCACTGCACCCGCTAGTTGTACACCTGTCCCTCGTTTACTTGCTATTTTCACCTCCGACCAGACCCTCACTCATGACCCTCAGAGCCCGTCAACGAGCGATAAGCTTCTCTGCACCTCGCGTTCCGACACCGTGCGGACGTCCCATCGTTTCCAGGGCATCGATTCACCGCACTGATGGACGCGACGGTTTTAATGACGATCCCCACCTCGGTAAACAACAGGTTCGACTCGCTGCCCACGAGGATGAGCCACCACACCCAAAACTTCCGTTAGCGGAGCCACTCGAGTCTCCACCTCTCACATTCCGATTTTTTTCAGCAACTGGAACCTGGGAATGAATTCCGACGGAGAGCGGTGTCCGACCATTACCTGTCCGCTCTCGACGGATGGATCAAGCGAATAGGCTCGAATTAGAAATACTGCATGGCCACGAGCGGCGACCGCCGCAACATTGACCACGGGAACGACAACCCTGACTCCGAAAGGAGGAGCTCCGGAAGATGATGCGAGAGTGACCGAGAGAGTGGGAAGGGAGACTCCTCGACGGAGACTCCTCGACAAAGACCCCTTGACTCATCCATCTCGCGTCCTTCTGTTTTCAACTAGAGATGGAGAACACAAAAGCCGTTTCTCGAATTTCAACTCTAGAGACGCGGGGCATCAAATCCGATTAGACGGCCGGAGTCCCCACCATCACCACCGGCCACCAAGAGCTCCTGATGGTGCTTGTAGGAGTGAACGAAGATAGTCGAAGGGATGGCCGACAAGAGAGAGATGAACTCCCTTCATAAAAAATACCGGACCCCGGCTTGAAGCCAGAGAGAGTCAGACGGTACTAGGGACGTTTACTGCTGCTTTCGTCCCGAAGAAATCCTACTCACAGTAACAAACGAGCGGCGAGCGAATGGGTGAGTCCTCCCACAGAAATCGGAGGGCGGGGGATTGTCTCGGGCCGCTAATTAATTTATTTTTCCATTTTCAACTTCGCCTCGTCCTCATTGAGGGTATCTTTCGTCCCTGTCATCCAACGAGTCAATTTGTATCAATAGAAGCAAGCAAATAGAACCGGCCGGTCGAGTATTCGGCAAACGACTCCAACTTGACGAGGCCCGGATCCCGCAGAGGACTTACGCGAGCCTCGGCGGCTCCACGTGTGCAACGTTCAGCGCTCGTTGCGTGCGAGACGCTTAGACGTCAAGTACGACAGCCTCAGTTGAAGACCCCCCCCCTTCCGGGACGGTCCACGCGAGGCAATGGACCTCTCGAGGAGGGTCGCCCGCCTGCTTGCGAATACAGGTTCCGACTCGCGCTCGAATGAATTTCCGGCTCCCGAGTCGATCAGAGATTTACTCGTCCTGGCAAAAGTAGGCGTTTGCAGCTCAGGATGATCCCGTTTCTAAGGTCCCGATCATCGGAGTGTCTGGAGCCATCTCGCTCTGGTCCCGGCTCGGTAAGACGGAGTAGATAGAGAAATCTAGGAGGGAAATGAAGAGGCCTGCGACCGCGAGGAATACTCACAGACGTTGTTCTTGACAACGGGATAGTTGTTCTCCTGTTTGAATGTGTTCGAAAGCAGGCCGGCGTTCTCCTCGAGTGCCGTCATCAGACGTGTCAGGATCTGCTTCTGATCGGTCGTACTCAGATCACTCCAGGCCTCCTGGTTCTTCACTTCGAGCAGGTTTGAGACGGTGCCCACGAAATCCTGGAATAGAGAAGAAAATGGATAAGATCGACTGCGGAAACCTCCGCCTTATCGATTGACTCGATAAGAACGGGGAGGGGGGAAGCTAAGAGTTTTTGTCATCGTTCGCTAACGACTTATTTATGGCTGTCCTGTGACTATTTTGTGGGTTTCAGCGCTTTGGCCCACGCATAACTTTTTGGTGGCCTTCACACACCCCCAGAGAGGATGAACGCAGGGTCAAGGACTGTCGACGGACACGACGGATCTCTCGACGTGCTCGTCCCACAGTTAGCATATCGGCTATGTCATCTTTCGCGCTTGCATGCCGCCGCCTGTGCTTTGCTACGTGCCCCGCTAACTGCTCCACGGAACAGGAAGGAGCCCAGGAACCCGCCCACTTGCTGTGAGTGTCCGACATTGTAGAACATCCGTTCCATTTGCACACGTCTGCCGTTCCATTCCCCGAGCGACCGGCAGCGCATGAGAGGTTTTTCCTTATAAAGCGTGCGAATCACTCGGGGCGAACAGACACAAAGACACTCGGGGCGAACGGATCTGATCTAGTGCTTTCTAATTGAGTGGCGTCTTCCGTGGGCGGCTCGGAGGACCTGGGAGGAACGGCCCGCCAGGATTCGAACGCCCACGCGCCCTCCCATCCGACCATTCCCCCGATAGGAGAAGCTTGGGGAGTTGGCAAAACCAAACGCAATGTAGCACCATCTCTGAGCTGTTCATTTCGCTGTGCGTCGGAAAGCGCGAGCGGGACGCCCCGCGGTATATTGAAACAATGCCTTATTGGCTGGGTTTGAGCCGCAGTGGGCGGTGGATTTGGCAACCGACGACACGGAGTCGCAGAAACGCGCCCAGTTCATTTTATTGTTGGAAGCCCAAGACGACCGGGGATGGGGGGCTAATATGGCCCGAACGGCCGACATTCTCCGACCCCCTTCCTCAAACACAACCAACCGTCCGCCTAACATCGTTGTTGGTCCCGCGGGGGCTGTGTCCATCTACCGAATCCGCATACGCTGCTTCTGCAACTATGTACTCCTACCAACACGGCTAACTGCCGCAGCCGTACAGAACGGGGAGGAAGCGACAAGCGACCGGAAATTTGTCCGAAAGGGTCAACTGCCTCTTCTTGCCAGGCAGCGGAGCAAAACTGTAAGCATGTACTTCCGAGCTCGGAGTAGAAATAATTTTTACGTTCGTTAAGCACACAGCGAAGACTCGATCTGAGCGAGACCAAGCGTTGCAAGGAACAAGTTCTGGGTGGGTGTGGGTCCTGATGGGGATAGGAAACGGGCAGAGGCATCCCACCGGAGGGATAATCACCGTTGTCGGTTCGCTCGCCGGATAGGGAACCGCAATATTAAGAGAATGCCGATTCATCGCCGTGTGCCGTGAAGTCTTGGCTGACTGAGTGGAGGGTCGCTCGGTGTGTCAGTCGGTCGGACCGGCATCTTTCCTGTTTTTCCCGCTGTTTTTGTTTGCGAATCGGGTTTTTAGGTGCTGTCGGTGGCGATGAGACTCTCATGATATCTCAGTGGGGTCGTGCTATCGTTCATCGTTCCCGTCATGAGGGAACACAATCACTTTGGCAAGAAGTGTAACCCGTTTAGGTCAAGGAAAAATGCAAAAACCACATGAGACAATCTCGCAGCACATTAAGAGGAATCTCGATCAGATCCTATCCTGATCGTTCCTCCACGCCCCCTCCCCCTTCCTCCTTGTTTCTTGTTAGGACATCAAGTTGTTTCTCTGCTGAACATTGGATTCTCCTCATAGCTGAGCGTGGGGATCGCCGATTATTATTAGTGCTCAACACCGAGAAAAGCTCAACGGCGTAGGGTTTGGGCGGGAGGATCGAGCAGCACTGAGTAAGCGAATGCACAGAGAAGTTGAGTTGAGCCGTAAAAGGAACCTCTCTGTCGGTGAGCATGATGCCTCCAGTGCGGTAATATCCGCTGCTCTTAATTGCGTTTTCTATTACTGCTGATGCTTCTCTCCACCTCTGTCGCCGTCATTGACGCGGACGCCCTGCCACTAGTCTACGTGGATGCGAGGTTCACTGAGTGCACGACCTCGTCTGCCTCGAACCGTTTACTCTCTCAGTCAGCTTATATCACCTAACAAACGATGACGAACGTACTTTAGCGCCGCTTACTGAGTCTACGCACAAATGGGAGCTATAGGCTCGCTCATAATTACGCCAAGTTTTTGATTCATGCTCCAGCCGGAGCATCGGAGCGTAAAGCTCGCTCGGCGACCAAATTTTTTTACTGCCGTTCCTCTCTCGCTGAACTATTACCTGACCAGGTTGAGGGAGGGGGTTCGTTTGCGATCCGCGATAGAAAAAAAAGCAGTTGTGTCACAGGCGTCCGAGTGCGCTCCCTCCGCCATCATTTACTTGGCAGCCAGCGGAGATTGCCGTGACGAACTCGAATGGTCAACGTCTGGCAGCGAATCCACGGGTGTGCTCGGGAGGCTCGGGATCGGTGTACTACATCGCACGCCGCATATTGATTGCTAAACCAAAATCGAATTATCACGCTCGATGCATAACCATCCCGATCGCTGTGATGAGGTCACGGCGCGCGGAGAGAGATTGACGAGCTCCGGTGTGACGAAAGAAGCCCGCGCCCGCGCGCCAGAGCAGCCTCCTTGCATCACACATTTGGCCCACATGTTCTTCATCTACTCTCTAAGAGCACCTCTCGTTTTTCCCCTGGAAGCTGTAACCGGCATTGGTAGTGAAATGGAGACAAGCGTTCTCTACAAAATGTAGAGCGATAATTTCTCATGACGAAGCCACGCATGGGCGGACAAGCCAAAGACGGGCAAGCACAGACATGAGGACAGACAGAAAAGCTGCGCCCGTGGAGAAGGAAAATTTTATACACGCGAGGGTTTATGGGTCCGGCAGCTCGTGCTGCGAACATTAATATAACTCTACGTACATATGCTACCGCTGCCATCGCAACTTGACTCGTCGTGAATCCCGGTGATGAAGGGGGAAATGGGGTTGGGGGAACACCCTCTCTTCCTTGGCCCACGCGGACCGGCGAAAATCGAGAAGACGAAAGATGCCCCCAGGAATTCTTGAACTCGTCATTTTCCGTCGAGGATACGTCTCGGCTTCCGCTGGCTCATCTGTTCCCTTGTCGAGGGCAATTCGTAGTTCTCCCATTCGCTATCTTCCCGGCGAAAAAATCAAATCTGCGAGACAGCCAGAACGTAGCTGTATAGTGCGTTGCAGATTAAAGGGATCGAACTCGAACGTTGACTCGCGCTCCGTCCCCATTTGGAGAGTGGCCAGAGCGAAGGGAGTCAAAGCGAAATGGAGCGGAGCACCGAGAAACGACAGCGTCTGACTGCGTTTGAAAGACTTCAGTAAGCACCCTCTGGACTTTGGTGGGCGCGTTAGAGAGACCCACTGGTTTGTAAGCGGCTTGACTGGTAGTGTGCACGTGTGTTACACTTTCAATTAACCCTAAAAGCCCCTTAACGACATATCCTCCACGGCAGCCGCCGCGGCGGCGTCGTCGGCAACCATAGACGGGAGACGTCGGAGCGTCCCCTAGAATTGCGCGTGCTCCATCACGCCGCCCGCTCAGTATCGATTTGCCTAACCGGGGAATACTATGGCTTCAAAGCTCCCATTGGAACCTGCCATGCGCGTAACTCAGGCATCCCGTCTCTCAAGACCGTCCACGCGTCAACCAGCTCCACAATGAAATCCGGCATCTATGTTTGTTCCTCTGCGTACAACTCCGTGCTTATTCGCTGGATTGTCGTTGTCGTCGACGTCGAAAGTTGCGAGACGCCTGAGAGGATTCAGCACCTCCGTCTAATAATCTATGGTAATTCCTCGAGTGTCCCTTCAGCCTCCCATTATGAGCCGGATTCTATAATCTGACTAAAAGTTTTTCGTAGTAACGGGCTTAGCTGACATTTAGCAGACGGTCGCCATTTGCGACGGAGGAACCCACGACAGACGGCAGTCGAATCGACGGCCGGACAACCCAAGCGCTGTTCATACAACAATACACGTACAGCTGTTCTCAATGGATCCAGCGATGTTGACATTCGCCCTCAACAATTAATGAATGCCAGAGCTACCGCTCGACTGGATCCAGCCTTCGTGGCAGAAAAACTCGGATTCAGAAGCAGGAGCACTCCTCATAGAGCGAAGGAACGAAAATATAAACCTAAGGGGGGTGCGGTTCCCAAGCGAAAGCTGGCGCCCGGGACGGAAAGGGTTCGGAACGGAAGAGGTTCGACACTCGCGCGTAGAGAGCCCACGCGTGGGTCCGAGGCGTGTTCGGCACAGAGCTGTGCGCCGCGACCCGAGATCGCCGGCGATCGCCGCCGCCGAGCTCTGGACTCCGCCGCCGCCGCCGAGCTCTGAGCACGGCGTCCTGCGGCGGAACGGCGCGCCGTCATGATCCCCATGGTAAATCGTCAAGAGCCCTTTTGAAAGATTTCGGAAGACTTTCGGAGTGAATCGAGGGAATACAGAAGGAAGTGTTCATCAAAGTCAAAGAAAGAGAAACTGGGCCAAGCTCGATGCGCTCGCTCGATGATAATAGAATCGAATCGTAGACGACACCTTATATCATCCGAGAATCGAGACGATTCATTAGTTTTTCTGTCGACTCCTCGCCGCACATCAAGAGACGAAATAGGAATGACCAGCCTGCCGTCTTGTCTTTTCATACACGATAATCGAGAGTTCTTGCAAAATAAGTGACTTAAGAACAAATGAACCTAACTTGAGCTCGCACTTCGATTCCTACTTTCGCCATCCCGAAGCTTACTCCCTCTTTGGTGCCCTAGCTCACTCCTTGGGACCTAATTTCCCCATGGAGCTCGCTTCGGGTGAGAGAGAACCGCGGCGCGCCGTGAGTCTCAACTCCGCTGAAAAACGCCGCGGCGCCCGCCGCCGCCGCCTCTTTTTTCGCCTGTCGCCGCCGCCGCGAAAAATCAGATGGCGCACGGTACTGGTTCGGCATAAT